CCCCACTGCAGCTTACGCCATCGCCATCTACTCACAGCAGCCCAGCTCCAGGTCGAGCTGTTGTTCACCATCTTAGCTGTACAGAGCGCAGTGTCACTGGCCCTCATGTGGGATCTGAATTGGCGGCCCTGCTGCTGAGAGCTTGTGCTCCCAAGCAAACTCTTAACCAACAAGCCACTCGGCCAGCCCTCAAAATATTTTTTAATTTCCCTTTTGATTCCTTCTTTGACCCATTAGTTGATCAAGTGTGTTGTTTAATTTGCAAATATTTGTGAATTTTCTATTTTTTCTTCTGTTATCCGAAGCAGGTATTGAAATCTCCTAGTGTTCTTGTGGTACTGTTTCTCCCTTCAGTTCTCTCAATGGTTGCTTCATATATTGAGGTGATCTGATGATGGATACACATATATTTATAGTTGCTATATCTTCCTGGTGAATTGACCCTTTTATCATTATATAATATCTTTTTTTTTTGGTCTCTTGTGACAGTTTTTTACTTAAAATCTATTTTGTCTGATGCCCCAGCTCTCTTTTGGTTACCATTTGCATGGAATATCTTTTTCTGTCCTTTCATTTTCAGACTATTTGTGGCCTTAAGTCTAAAATGAGTTTCTTGTATTGGGTTGTCAGAAGTCATGACGTATTTTGTCTGTGTTTTTCAAAGATCATTTATTTAACTAAACAACAAAGATCAATCAATGATATATTGCTCGTTTTGTTAGATAACAGTTTGCCATCTTTCAGTGAGCTTCATAATTCCTCGTTCATAGAAGGACCTGTCTTTATTTGTGAAAAACTAAACAAGGTGCTGATTTACAGCCTCATCTGAATTGAACGTTATGCCACGCAAGGAGTTTTGAAGAGAGCTAAACAAGTGGAAGTCTGATGGCACAAGGTCAGGTGAGTATGGTGGGTATGGCAACACATCCCATCCAAGCTCCGATAAGTTTTGACGGGTGATCAAACTTGTGCGTGGTCTCACGTTGTCACAATGGGACACAACTCCTTTACAATTAACAAGCTCTGGATGTTTCTGGATGATGGACTCGTTCAAACTGTCCAATTGCCAACAGTACACATCCGAATTGATTGTTTGGTTCCTTGGTAGGAGCTCAAAAAACATGACACCTTTAAAATCCCACCACATGGAGAGTATCACCTTCCTCTGATGAATGTCTGCTTTCGATGTCACTTGAGGCAAATCATCACATCGGGATCAAGACCACATTGTTGTAAACAATCCACTTCTCATCACCAGTTATCAGTCGCTTCAAAACAGGATCATTTTCCTCACGTTTAATGAGCATATTGCAGATGTTTATACGTGCCATCAAATGAACTTATTTGAGTTCTTGCGGAACCCAAATATAGAGCTTCCTTACATATCCCAGCTTGTTTAGGTGGTTGTGAATGCTTAAATGATGAATGTTCAAAGTTTCTGCAATCTCTCATGTCGTGTAACGTGGGTTTGACTCGATCAATGCCTTTATTTTGTCGTCATCAACCTCGGTGGGCCTCCCTGACTAAGGAGTGTCGTTGAGATCAAAATCACCAGCACAGAATTTCATAAACCATCGTTGGCACTGACATTCTTGTAGAGAATTGTCACCATAAACTTTATGCAACTTTTCACAAGCTTGACGCACGTTCTTCCCTTTATGGAAGTAAAACAGTAAAATATGGTAAAAATGCACAGCTTGGTCTTTCATCTTCAACTTGTGAAATCTCCAAATCTCAACCAAATCGCTCAATTTTTTTAAAGAATGAAGCTTGAACTGTCAGCTGTCAAATGACATGGCAATAACATAGATGCGAATGACTATAGTACTTCCAAAAGTGAACTAGTGCCATCTTTTGTAAATATGTGTCATGACTTTTCCGACAACCCAATAGACAGCATATATTGGATCTTGTTTTTCATTCATTCAGCCACTGTATGTCTTTGATTAGCGATTTTAATCCATTTACATGTAAAGTAATTATTGATAGGGGAGGGCTTAATATTGCCACTTATTAGTTTTCTGCCTTGTAGCTCTTTTGTCCCTCTTTTTCTCTCTTAATATCTACCTTTGTGTTTCATTGATTTTTTTTTCCCTAGTGATGTGCTTTTTCTTCTCTGTGTCTTCTGTAGGCATTTTTTTATGGTTACAATGGGGCTTAAAACATTTTAGAGTTATAACAGTCTACTTTAAGCCAATTAGAACTTAAGTTCAATCACATTTAAGAGCTCCTTTTTAAATTATTTTAATATTTTATTGAGGAATTGGAGAAGGGGAACAGTGTTAGGGAATTGGGGAAGGGGAACAGCCAAGTTGTTGTCCTTGAGTCTTAGTTGTGGAGGGCGCAGCTAGTTCAGCTCCAAGTCCAGTCACCATCTGGCTGCCCGTTGGCAGCTCGCAGCCACTCAGCTCAAGGTGCCGTGTTCTATCTTAGTTGCGTGTGGGCGTAGCCCACCATCCCATGTGGGAGTTCAATGGGCAACGTTGTTAAGAGCACGTGCTCTCACCAGCTGAACCATCCTGCCACCTGTTGGCAGCTCAGCGGCAGTTCAACTCAGGTGCAACTCACTGGCCCATGTGGGAATCGAACCAGCTACCCTGTTGCTCAAAGCTTGTGCCCTTAACCAACTGAGCCACTCGGCCGGCCCCCTTAAATTTTTTTGAATGTTCTTTTTTTAAACTACTGAGTCGTCGGAAAAGTCATGACGCATGATTGCAACAGATGGCACTAGTTCATTTTTGGAAGTACTAGAGTCATTCTCATCTATGTTTTATTGCTATATCATTTGTCATAGAACATTTAAGAATGTCCTAGCATCATTCTTAAAAAAATTGAGCGATTTGGTGGAGTTTTGGAGATTTTACAACAAGTTGAAGATGGAAGACCAAACTGTGCATTTTTACCATATTTTACTGTTTTACTTCCATAAAGGGAAGAACATGCGTCAAGCTTGTGAAAAGTTGCATAAAGTTTATGGTGACAATTCTCTACAAGAATGTCAGTGCCAACGATGGTTTATGAAATTCCGTACTGGTGATTTTGATCTCAACGACGCTCCTTAGTCAGGGAGGCCCACCGAGGTTGATGACCACAAAGTAAAGGCATTGATCAAGTCAAACCCATGTTACACGACACGAGAGATTGCAGAAACATTGAGCATCCATCATTCAAGCGTTCACAACCACCTGAAGAAGCTGGGATACGTAAGCAAGCTCGATATTTGGGTTCCACATGAACTCAAAGAAGTTCATTTGACCACGCGTATAAACATCTGCAATGTGCTCATTAAGTGTGAGAAAAACAATCCTGTTTTGAAGTGACTAATAACTGGTGATGAGAAGTGGATTGTTTACAACAATGTGGTCTTGATCCCGATGTGATGATTTGCCTCAAGTGACATCGAAAGCAGACATTCATCAGAGGATGGTGATGCTCTCCGTGTGGTGGGATTTTAAAGGTGTCATGTTTTTTGAGCTCCTACCAAGGAACCAAACAATCAATTCGGATGTGTACTGTTGGCAATTGGACAGTTTGAATGAGTCCATCATCCAGAAACGTCCAGAGCTTGTTAATTGTAAAGGAGTTGTGTCCCATTGCGACAACGCGAGACCACACACAAGTTTGATCACCCATCAAAAATTATTGGAGCTTGGATGGGAAGTGTTGCCACACCCACCATACTCACCTGACCTTGCGCCGTCAGACTTCCACTTGTTTCGCTCTCTTCAAAACTCCTTTTGTGGTATAACGTTCAATTCAGATGAGGCTGTAAATCAGCACCTTATTCAGTTTTTCACAAATAAAGACCGGTCCTTCTATGAACAAGGAAGTATGAAGCTCACTGAAAGATGGCAAACTGTTATCTAACAAAACGAGCAATATATCATTGATTGATCTTTGTGCTTTATATAAATAAATTACCTTTGAAAAACATAGACAAAATACGTCATGACTTTTCCAACAACCCAGTAGCACCCTGTTCTAAAAGAATATTATCTCTTATTTCTCTAAGGGTATTTGTGATGGTTTAAAGGGTTTTTTTTTCTTTTTGCATGGTCTCTGTTTTCTGCTGTTTGCTTTTATTTCTGTTTTTTCTGTTCTCTGTCTTTCACATTAAAGGTTTTCCCCAGATGCCTGATCATCCATGCTCATATTTATGAGTAGGAGCCAAAAACAGATTGGAAAGGTTGAGTACATGAGTGGTCCTTGTTGACTTTGAGCTGCACTTTAAAGTCATTCCTGCTGGTCCATTTGTTGGAGGAATTCCCATCCCAAATCAGTATTTTTGGATCTTTCCTCCTGAGGCTAATCAGGTTCTTCAGATAAATCATTCACAAACTCTTACTTGGGATAGTACCACCAGCACCATAGGAGCCAAATAAGGGAAAATGTCTGGGGTGTTCTCAGTATTCAGTATGTATTATTTATCTTAATCTCTTTGCTTTCAGAAACAGTATTCGCATCTTCAACTGTGTCTGACATTCCCCATAGTCAGAGAGTGAACCTCCAGTATTCACCAGGATTGGGAGTGGTTTTTACCCAGTAGAATATTGTAGGGGAGGATATTTTAAGGTCTAGTTGGTTTATAAATAGCTTTCAACTTACCTACCTTATCTTAACCCCATCCCTTTACATCCATTTCCGGAGATACCTGAGGCTATTAATTCCTGAACTGTTTTAGGATTCTTAAGTGTAGATGGATTGGTTCCTGGCTTTCCCCACTGCTGGTTTAACATTCAGCTTTTTTGAGTATACTCATCCAATTATTTTCCAACTTCCAGAATATTTTTACTAGTACTTATTTTCCTTGTTCTTCCTGACCTTGTGGATTTGGTAAAAACAAAATCCCTACAGTTTTTGAGCATAATTTGGAGGGAGTGAAATTAGATACACATGTTCAATCTACCATCTTTATCTGAAACTAACTGATTCTAACCACTATGAAATAGTTGCCTTACCTCCCTCATGTGATATTTCTGTTGATCCTCGGTTTATATTAGGTGTTATACTTGAAGAACCTTAGCCCTCAAGTGACGGAAAGAGATCTTGTCTCATTGTTCGCTCGGTTCCAGGAGAAAAAAGGACCTCCAATTCAATTCCGAATGATGACTGGACGAATGAAGGGGCAGGCTTTCATCACCTTCCCCAGTAAGTAGCTTCATCTATATGATTACCCAGCTGTAGTATCAGCATTAGAGACTACATATACCCTCTCTAATTTAGGTATAGTCCTTTGATTTCTCTATAGCACATGAGAAGCATATGTTTGAACAAGAAAGAAGAGAAATAAGCAAAATGTTTTTAGTATTCTTCTATCATCCCTTCTCCACTGACTCTCCTCCACTGACTATGCATGACCACCTTATACAATTGTCCTCAATTTTCCACAGTCTTGGCACTTTCTTCTTACTTTATCAAAATTTACTTTCCCCTTGCTCACAATAATACTTGTAGCCCAAGTTATATTATTTATATACTGGTACTCTGATTAGAACAATTATACTTTCCTTATGCCCTATTCCTTTAGGGCTAAGATACTGCAAACTAGTATGCTAATTCACTAGTAATTAATAATTAACTACTGGATGATGATATATTATTTTAACTGTTGTTTGTATCATAATAGATGATTTCAGTATCCTTATCTAAAGGGAGCAATAATATAGAAATTTCATTTTCTGTGGCAGACCAGACTATCTTTTTCTTTTTCTTTTTCTTTTTCAGGGAGGCCGGGTAGGAGCTGTACCTTTCATTATCCCTAAACTATCATCATTTATAGACAGCCTAGTAATCTATGTATAGGCAAGAGCTTTTATACTTGAGCAGTGTCAAACTCCATTCTTCATACAGTCTTATACCATCTTTCCTATCTTATTCTGGGTTTGCTGAGCTACACTAGTAGTTTTCAATCTTTCAAGTGTGAAGACCCTTTTTAAACTTAAAAAATATTTCATAGATCCCCCCACCTAATATGATTAATTATTTGAAAAAAATTATATAATAAAAAGATTTTATAAAGTAAGTGCTTTTAAATGGATAGTTGTTTTACTAATCATAATAGCAGCTATCTACATATGAAAATTGGTGGTATATACATATGTGTTATATAAATTGGTTCAGCCTAAAGACATCGCTTGTCTACTTATGACTTCACAGACTCTGGGCAATAATTCCACTCCTTTCTGATTTCCCACATCAAGGCTCTGACACCCATAAGTTGAGTACTACTGCTGTACACTATATACTCACACACCTCAAGTTTCCATATGCCTACAAAGATATTAAACTTATTTATCCCAATGAGGGCTCCCACAACCACTTTCGCATCAAAAGAAAAAAGTAGCAAAATGTTCTTAAGGCCATAATAATTTATTTGTGTTGCCAATTTTGAAAATGATTTCATTCTCACAATATCTGTAATCTGTTATCTAAGATAGAGGCATATGTATTATTGGTTATACCTTCGCTTTCTTTAGCACACTGTCTATATTCTTGTTTCTTTACCTGTATCTTTGAATTAGGAGGCACTCTCAAACATCCATTTTAAGTTTTTCTTGTCATTATTCTTAGTCATTAGTTTAATCTTGCTGAATTACACAAATTTGAGATTGTGGTAAAGGTAATAAAATTGAATAAATATATGGTCTTACAGCTTACATTTAACCCTAAGGAAAAACAACATAAATAAACTTAGAATAGATCTGAATTATTAAGCCCTGTGTAAATTGATGTTTCTTTTCTTTCTCTTTTAGATAAGGAGATAGCATGGCAAGCATTGCATCTAGTAAATGGATATAAACTACATGGGAAAATATTGGTGATAGAATTTGGGAAGAACAAAAAGCAATGGTCAGATCTCCAGGCTGCTTCTCTGATATCATCTGCTACAGAAAGCACTACAGAAATCAGTGGTAGCTAGAAGATATATAGATTAGAGTCCTGGGAGGTCTTTCTTGCATTGGAATCATGGATCTGTGAATTCCTTATAGACTGCAATTTGTTTAGAATTGAAGAAGAGAAACTAACTGAGGGAGAGAAAAATCTAATTAAGATATTCCCTTTCAGCTTTTGGAAACAATTGGTAGAAAACATTTTCTAAAATCAAAGATGATATAGGACAGACAATATGCTAGTCTAAAGAGTAGGGTACAAAAAGCATCATTTTCTCAGGACAAATTACAACTGATTATTTCCAAGGATTTTTTTAATCATTATAATTTATCTAGGGTCTTAAATACTTGTCCCTAGAGATATTCTTTCAAAGACTGCCTCCTATATAGAGAACTAAAAGAAACTAAATAAATGTTGAAATATTTATTTTTTAGAGTCCGTTTGTCACTAATTTTATTCACCTAGTAAATCAATGACCAGGACCCCCCAGGCCTAAACATCAACAAATGCTATTAAATGAGAACTATTAGCAGTAATGGTAGGTAGTTTCATAAGGCAGTACACATATTTAATGAATTCTTCCCTGTTAAGTTATCAGTGTCGTCAAAAAGCCATATATTTTTCTAATGAAAGCATTTAGATCTAAATATTGATGTTCTCTTGGTAATTTAAGCTAGCTACCATTGAGTAATTGAATTCAAAGCAATAAATTAAATAAGCATTTAATGTAGGTTAGGCATTAGGTATATGGATTTTAGAAGAGGAACATACTAGCAAAACTTATTAAAGGGGGATCGGAAGAAAGAGTTGTCTAAAAGAGAGGCAGCCAATCCCAAATCCCCCAGTTGTGTATGTTTGCTAGAGAATAGGAAGACAATATGGCATGGAGGAAGTAGTACAAACTTTGGAGTCACACCTGTGTTTGAACTTCACAGCTACACTGACCACTCCATGATCTTGGCAAGTCACTTAATCTGAGCCTCAGTTTTCTCATCTATAAAATGAGGATAATAATACTCCTTACCTCATTGAGTTGTGAAGATTAAATGAGATGATATTATCCAGGCTGAAGAACAGGAAGAAAAAAAGAATTGAAGGAAATTGAACAGAATATAGGACCATTAAGTACTCCAATATACTTGTAATGGGTGTACCAGAAAAAAAGAAGAGAAAGGTGCAAAAAATATATATATTTCAATAAATAATGGCTGTAAACATCCAACATTTGATGAGAAATATTATCTATATATCCAAGAATCTCAGCAAACCCCAAGTAGGATAAGCAAGAAGACATCCACAGACACATCATAATAAAAATGCTAAAACCCAAAGACAGAGAAAATCTTGAAAGCAACATTAGACAAATTAAGCATCACTTTCAAGGGAACTCCAATAAAATGAACAGCTGACTTCATCAGAAACAATGGAGGTGGCAGTAGGATAACATATTCAAAGTGCTCAAAGAAAAAAAAAGTGCTCATATAGACACCTACATCCAATGAATCTGTTTTTCAAAAATGAAGATGAAATACCTTCCCACATTTTCAAAAACTGAAAGAATTTGTTGCTGGAAGACCTGATTTATAGGAAATATTAAAGGAAGTTTTCTTCAGGTGGAAAGCAAGTGACCTCAGACAATAATTTGAATCTACACATAGAAAAACATAGCACACAGGTAAAGGTAATTATAAAGAGTCTAAATGCATTTTTCCTTCTCTTAATTGATTTAAAAGCAGTTTTATGAAATAATATGTATATAGTTTCATTTTGGGGCCTAGAACCGAAAACTGTAATATATTTGCCAATAACAGGACAAAGGAGGTGGGTGGAAGCAAAACTGTATTGGACTAAAGAAGTGACTCTAGATGGTAACTCAAACCCACAGAAACAAATGAAGAAAACAAGAAATGGGAAATAAGGTTAATATTTAAAAATGATAAATATATACTTGCTCTTCTTTCTTCTCTCAGCTTCTTTAAAAAACATAAAATTATATTAAGTAATAAATATAGCAATGTATTGTTGGGTTTATAACATGTAGAAATAATATATATCAATAGTATAAAGAAATGGGGAAAGGAATAGGTTTAATAGGAATAAGGTTTTTATATCATTGGAATTTAGTTAGTATATATCTGAAGCCAATTCAGTTAAGATGTGCATGATAAACCTTAGAGCAACCACTAAGGAAATAACTGAATATAAATAGTGGGAATATTATTAAAGAAATTTAAATGTTACGTTAGAAATTTTTCAATGTAAAGCAATGCAAAAGGAATGGAGAAACAGAAACAACTTGAGACATATAGAAAACAAACTGTAAAATGGCAGTCATAAATACATCTCTGAATAATAATAAATATGAGTGGATTAAACAATGCAATCAAAAGACAGAGATTGTCAAACTGGAGAAAAAAAAAACAAGATTTACCTCTATGCTATTTATTGGAGTCACACTTTAAATTTAAAGATACAAATAGATTGAAGGTAAAAGGATAGAAAGAAATATCCAGCAAATGGCAACTATAAGAAAGCTGGAGTGACCATACTAATTTCAGACAAAATAGACTTGAAAACAATATCACTAGAGATAAAGAGTAACACCTTGGGCCAGCTGAGTGGCGTGTTGGTTAAGAGCTGGCTTGGGACGCCAGAGGGCCCTGGTTCAGATCCCACATATGAGGGCCAGTGACACTGCCCTCTACAGCTAAGAT